GTTTTTTTTTTTCTGAACAGTTTTAGTTTAATTTGCCTTTTCTGAAGGTTACTATGGGTTCAGAACGTTCAGAGAACATTCAAGTAACATTCATATATTGTTTGAAAATCGAATCTTCCCACAAATACTTTAATGGGAACATTTGCAAAAGAAACAAAATAACATTTTGTTTGCTGGAATGTAGATAAAAAGCTTGTGTGGATACATCAAATTAAACAGTCCTGTCATTTCACATGCATTACCAGGAGTCAGAGAATCATTATAAAATCATGTAAAAAAGAAAAAGTACTTTCATAGCTTAAAATTGGGGGTTGTCCTTTGGGTTAAAACCTTTATTTATATATTATATCTTTATATTTTACTTGCACCTTCTACTGTCACCTCAGGAAGGTGCTGGTCATATAATGCTGATTTCCAAACTGGATAAACTGATGCGGTTCAGCTCCCTGTATTACAACACTTGGTCTTTATGCATACATATGATGCATAAGGTTAATCTCAACAGCCCAGCAACACTTCTATTTTGATACAATTATAGTTTATAAATGACAGAGAAAGACCCATACCACAAACAAGATCACTCCGATTCTACAATGATATGCCTGTCCTTTTTATGAAGTCACGGTATACAGTTATCAATTGTAACAAATAAATTGTGAAACTACCCTATCCCATAATGCACTGGTCTGGAAATTCTCAGTAGGGCTTCTTTTCATGTGTACTCCCATGGCAGTTCTGGAATAATAGGTCTCAAGCTTCACTTGATCTCTGAGCATGATCAAAGTGCTGCGGCACCAATTAAAAGACCCCGTCAGAGGCCAGACAATAGCCAGACAGAGGCTGTTACATTCAATACTCATGCACTTTTACATTACCGCCAGCTTGTTATCACATCATATAGGCTAAAAGTGAAAGTGGCATGCTTTCTCGGACTTAATCATTAGGTCGTTGGGTGAGGACAAAGCAATAAACCTAGAACCCATTTTTTCCCCAGAGGTTTGGATGCCAAATAGTGTTTGTGGGGCCCTATTGCACCCAAAATGACTATGGATGTTTGAACATTTCACAAAGATGGAATATTTTTGTGTTTACAGTAAGATTTGTTATTGAGGACCACACACATTGCGTGTGTAGGCCTACTGCTTTCTACAGTTCTACATTGCTGAAGAAAAACATGAAAAATGAAATAAAAACGAACCAGTTTCATTTCTGGAGTCTTTTTATAGAAATAACAACTAGTGACTAGTCTGGTTTGTTTACTGGTTTTATATGGGGTTTGACCACCTTTCAGCTGATCGGGCATCATTTTAAACCAGGTCCGCCTATAAACCGGACATCTGGAAATTAAACGCATAGCCTGCATATCAGCATAATTTCGCTGCTTTCCAGATCTCCATAACGGGGACCAGAGTGAACTTTCCACTGTGTAGGCATGGAGGCAGCTACTAGGCTACAACACAAAGCATCCGCTTTATGCTGAAAATATAATGAGCCGATTTTATTGACCCGATCCTGTTTCCTCCCCCCATTCGCGACGGGATGGACTAGTTGCTGACGCGCACATCCCTGGAAACCGGTTATTTCCCCAAAGTAGAGTGACCCGTGGTCAGAACAGAGGGCTCTTGAAGTCCGGCTGCGATTAGCATAGAGTGGCGCTGTCCTCGACTCAACTGAACTGTAATCGCTCGCGCTCTTTATTCCTACAGACTCTAAAGCCGCGCTGAAAGCGTGACATCGTTTATGTATCCGTTCGGATTTTCAGCTGTTGGCGGGAATTACCTGTACGGCTGTGTTCTGACGAAGTATTTTTGTGTCAGTACTTCATTAAATCATTAAATAACGGCATAGACAAACTACCAGCAGTGACGGATAATCTTGTGAGGGCTCCTAAACCAATAAAACTTACTAATATTTTTCCAGTCTGCTCCGTGATGAGTGACATTCACGTAACAAACGTTTCCAGAAAAAGCAAAGATGACAGCCTTTATATGTTGCGCATTTCCTAAGGCAGAGAACCAATCCGCCCCTGAGAAGAATGGGAGCAGGTACAAACCTTACAAACAAACGTACAACCGTAAACACTACAACAGTAAATGTCTCCATCTGCTGGACCCACTGTGAACCGAAAGTTGGTGATGGAAAGAAAGCTAGTCCCTATCTGGACTAACTGAACAAGAACATCCTCATATTTGCTCATAATCTGGCACGCAAATAAAGTAATACATAATAAACAAAGAATAAACTTAACCTACACAGTTTATAGTCACCAAGTTCTAGGCTTGAACCCATAACAGCCCATTTTGGAGGTAGGTTTGTGGGCATATTAGGCACAGTGATGTAGTTTTCTCAAACCAGCCAACCTGTCGCTTGGTCAGATGATCAGCGTGGGGACAGCCGTGTCCCACACATTGCTGGCATAAGAAGTGTCTGTTCTGTGACTCAAAGGAGGCAGTGTTGGTGGACAACTAACTGCTAGGCACGATGCCAATTGCATGAGACATACACACACACACAGCACCAGCAGCAGTTAAGGTCAGGTTTTTCTCAAGGCAAAACGGTGGAGTGTGCAGAGGCTTGGGAAAACTGCAGAAGAATGTACGTTTGTGTACACAGAAAAAAAGCTGGTCTAGTCATTTAGGTCACAACACAATGTATTCTCAAGGCAGCCCCTATTGTACAGCTGACAGTCCAGAGTCCCTCAAACTTAATTGAAGAGTAAATTACCTCTTACACAACACTCACAGAGTCCCAGGACATGAGAGGCTCATTTAACTTCCATAGAAATCACTCACTGCTTGGGATTAAAGAGAGTGAATGTACGAGCTCAAACGGCAGGATGATCAGTTTATGCTGAGTTTGAGAATGCATTGCCATAAAACATTTTAATTCAGAGAAAATAAGTAAATCCTTTTTACCAGACTTAAGCCTGAATATCAATAAATCACTGCATCACCTACAAAGAGTGTCACAAACACTTATGTAGACATGATTGAGGCCCAGTTCAGTTTCACAAAGACACACACACACACACACACACTACGGTTCAAAAGTTAGGGGTCACTAAGAATTTGCTTGAAAATATTTTTGAATGATGCTCACCAAGGCTGCCCTTATTTGTAAAAACAAAAAAAACAGTAATAGTGAAATATTAGTTTAAAACTTGTCTATTTCAATACATTTTAAACTGTAACTAATCATGTGATGGCAAAGCGCATTTTTTAGCAGCCATTACTCCAGTTTTCAGTATCACTTGATCTTTCGTAAATCATTCTAATATGCCAATTTTGCACTCAATTATTAATAATGGTTCTTACTGTCAATGTTGAAAAGTTTTCGCTGCTTAATATTTTTATGGAAACGGTGATGCATTGTTTTCATGATTCAGCATTCTTTGGAAATCTTTTGTAAAATGATAAACTCAAGGCAGCCCCTATTGTACAGCTGACAGTCCAGAGTCCCTCAAACTTAATTGAAGAGTAAATTACCTCTTACACAACACTCACAGAGTCCCAGGACATGAGAGGCTCATTTAACTTCCATAGAAATCACTCACTGCTTGGGATTAAAGTGAGTGAATGCATGAGCTCAAACGGCAGGATGATCAGTTTATGCTGAGTTTGAGAATGCATTGCCATAAAACATTTTAATTCAGAGAAAATAAGTAAATCCTTTAGAAACCAGACTTAAGCCTGAAGATCAATAAATCACTGCATCACCTACAAAGAGTGTCACAAACACTTATGTAGACATGATTGAGGCCCAGTTCAGTTTCACAAAGACACACACACACACACTACGGTTCAAAAGTTAGGGGTCACTAAGAATTTGCTTGAAAATATTTTTGAATGATGCTCACCAAGGCTGCCCTTATTTGTAAAAAAAAAAAAAAACAGTAATAGTGAAATATTAGTTTAAAACTTGTCTATTTCAATACATTTTAAACTGTAACTAATCATGTGATGGCAAAGCGCATTTTTTAGCAGCCATTACTCCAGTTTTCAGTATCACTTGATCTTTCGTAAATCATTCTAATATGCCAATTTTGCACTCAATTATTAATAATGGTTCTTACTGTCAATGTTGAAAAGTTTTCGCTGCTTAATATTTTTATGGAAACGGTGATGCATTGTTTTCATGATTCAGCATTCTTTGGAAATCTTTTGTAAAATGATAAATGTCTTCACTGTCACTTTCAATGCATCAATTCAATGCACGTTTTCTGAATACAAGTATTTTTAAAACAGAAAAGTTATTTTAAATAGTTTTTATTCTATTTCACAATAAATAGTTTTGGCAAACATAAGAGACTTTGAAAAATATATAATGAATGAATGTGTTCCATAAAAAGCAAAACGCATATGAACAACACTACACAAATTGAACAATAAGAAGAAGAAAAAAAACCTCAAACCCCATGTGAAGGGAAAAAACAAGCAGAAAGCAACATGTAAAACATTGTGATTTAATAAAAACAACAAAGCTCCAGGTACAATGTCTGGGAACCAGACTCTGGGTGCAATGCTTCTGAAGACATAATTGGACTAAAATAAAAAAACCTGCATACTTACAAACTCGCCAAAGCCGACCATCTCGGAAAACTCCTTACCTTGCATTGTGCAGAGCAAATCTAACGGGCACAGCTAAGCAAGTCACATCAAATAAAAATGTACATTTCATCTCTGGACTTTTTCTTTTGAACAGCGTGCATGCAATCTATTCAGCCATTAAACGGCCTGAACTGTCCCAAGTGGTTTCTAAATGCAGGCTTGTGTATAACTGCCATTTGTCATAAACAAGCCCCAAATCAAATAAATAACACAAATAAAAGAAATCTCATTTTATATAAATGACAAATAAGGCTTTGTCTGTGCTCTTTTCATTTAAAATTAAGAGGCAACCACTGCATTTTAATCATGATCCAAACAAAGATGCTGCATACAAGCAACATGAGCAGTTTTTAATCTAAATTACATTGTGTAATTTCGAAATTTGAAGCAAAAACAGAATGTTGACTTCAGTTTTGTGAAACTATGCATAAAAAATATCTGCATGAAACAGAAACAGCAGCTGAATGAGACGCAGATACACTCTCTGCCAGTAGGTGGCGCTTGAAGCGTTTCTTGGTTTCGGCTGTAAACAAAGCAGCGCTGCACTTATGAACTTTAATATGCATTATACAGAGGCAAGATGAAAAGAAGAAATACCATCGAAAGACAGCAAGTTCCCCTCAGACATACATTCATATAAACTCCTACCCCTAAATGAATCGCGATTTGTTTAGCATCTCAACCGATTTGAATCGTTACATATTTAAATTGATTTTCAACTGGCTCGCGGTTCATCGTTACATCCCTATTATTTACTAATATGAAAAAAAGCCTGTGCTTTCAAATTCAAACAAATGTTTTGACGCTCAGATGAACCAGTCAGCTCCTCCGCTCCTCCGCTAGTTTTAGTGTGAAATAAACATGAAAACAAGTTATTACAGCAAATTACAGTACGTTTAAATATGTTTCAATGTTTCAATCAGACATCTTTAAAAAAAATTGATTAAAAAAATTCCCTAGTGCAATTTAAGTTTATAACTCTGGACTGGTTCAAGAAACAAAACAAAAAAAAACAGAAACGGATGAAATTTTGACAGGAACATAACCAGAAACAAAATCTAATTTATTTGAAATGGCCATTAACTGGTTAATAACATTATTTTATCGTTTAGTATTTTTTAATTTTGCAATCTACCAATCATGAATTCAAATAGCACGGCCTATGCAAACGTTGACGCAATTCCTCACAGGTAAGTCACAATGCCAATCCCCGGAATTATAGTTTTTCCGCGGATGTGTCACAAACCGTCAAGCATTAGGCCTACATTTAAGTGAAAATGAATGGCAGGTAATATGCAGCTTGTTGTGCATTTTGAAACTAGCGAAAATTGCAGGATAGTGGAAACATGGATTCACACACAACATGTTATAGCCTATGTGAAGGACGATGATTTATGGCGATAATGCGAGAGATAGTTTACATTAATAATATTTTAGCATCCAGATACATTGCAAAACATTTGGATTCCTGCTGAATAAGAGGTAGGCTTCAGTTTAGCTTTAAATTACTTCGTTTTGGCTTGACGTTTATATACCTTAAATACTGATAACTTCAGAGGATTTGATAAGGAGAGAAGGGAACTAAAATAGTCTATAGCTGTGTTTATAATGTTTGTAAACGTTTTGCTTTATTAACCAGTATTTTAGCCTACATTATTTCTGAATGTAATAATAAAATGCGACAGCCTACACTCTTAACAATAAAGGTGCTTCAAAAGGTTCTTCAAGCGATGCCATAGAAGAACCATTTTTGGTTCCACAAAGAACCATTCAGTCAAAGGTTCTTTAAAGAACCATCTCTTTCTTACCTTTTTGTAATCTGTAGTTCTTCCGATGTTAAAGGTTCTTTATGGAACCATTTAGACAAAAAAGTTATTCTATGGCATCGTGAAGCACCTTTATTTTTAAGAGTGTAGGCGACTTATTTTTATTGCATACCTGCTGTGGCATCTGGCCAGGCATTTGTCCTGGCATCATCTGACCTGGAGGCATAGCACCTGGAGGCATCTGCCCAGGTGCCATACCAGGAGGAGGCATGTAGGGAGGTTGACCGTGCATTGGCATCATGCGAGGGGCTTGGCTCATGGGTGTTATTCCCTATAAATGACCAAAAAATAAATAAATCATATCAATAACTGCCTGAAAATAGAACACAATGGAGTCAGCACACAAATTCCCAAAGATCCCAAACATACTAACAGGCAGAAAACAAGTTATTACAGCAAATTACAGTACGTTTAAATATGTTTCAACAAAGAATTCAGACATCTTTAAAAAAAATTGATTAAAAAAATTCCCTAGTGCAATTTAAGTTTATAACTCTGGACTGGTTCAAGAAACAAAACAAAAAAAAACAGAAACGGATGAAATTTTGACAGGAACATAACCAGAAACAAAATCTAATTTATTTGAAATGGCCATTAACTGGTTAATAACATTATTTTATCGTTTACTATTTTTTAATTTTGCAATCTACCAATCATGAATTCAAATAGCACGGCCTATGCAAACGTTGACGCAATTCCTCACAGGTAAGTCACAATGCCAATCCCCCGGAATTACAGTTTTTCCGCGGATGTGTCACAAACCGTCAAGCATTAGGCCTACATTTAAGTGAAAATGAATGGCAGGTAATATGCAGCTTGTTGTGCATTTTGAAACTAGCGAAAATTGCAGGATAGTGGAAACATGGATTCACACACAACATGTTATAGCCTATGTGAAGGACGATGATTTATGGCGATAATGCGAGAGATAGTTTACATTAATAATATTTTAGCATCCAGATACATTGCAAAACATTTGGATTCCTGCTGAATAAGAGGTAGGCTTCAGTTTAGCTTTAAATTACTTCGTTTTGGCTTGACGTTTATATACCTTAAATACTGATAACTTCAGAGGATTTGATAAGGAGAGAAGGGAACTAAAATAGTCTATAGCTGTGTTTATAATGTTTGTAAACGTTTTGCTTTATTAACCAGTATTTTAGCCTACATTATTTCTGAATGTAATAATAAAATGCGACAGCCTACACTCTTAACAATAAAGGTGCTTCAAAAGGTTCTTCAAGCGATGCCATAGAAGAACCATTTTTGGTTCCACAAAGAACCATTCAGTCAAAGGTTCTTTAAAGAACCATCTCTTTCTTACCTTTTTGTAATCTGTAGTTATTCCGATGTTAAAGGTTCTTTATGGAACCATTTAGACAAAAAAGTTATTCTATGGCATCGTGAAGCACCTTTATTTTTAAGAGTGTAGGCGACTTATTTTTATTGCATACCTGCTGTGGCATCTGGCCAGGCATTTGTCCTGGCATCATCTGACCTGGAGGCATAGCACCTGGAGGCATCTGCCCAGGTGCCATACCAGGAGGAGGCATGTAGGGAGGTTGACCGGGCATTGGCATCATGCGAGGGGCTTGGCTCATGGGTGGTATTCCCTATAAATGACCAAAAAATAAATAAATCATATCAATAACTGCCTGAAAATAGAACACAATGGAGTCAGCACACAAATTCCCAAAGATCCCAAACATACTAACAGGCATGGCTGCTGGTACCCCGGCCATAGCAGCAGAAGCCTTTTTCCCAGCACCTGCATCAGGGGCTTTAGTTCTTTTTCTTCTCTTTCTTACGGTCTCGCTCCACATATGTGCCCTTCATTTTTGCAATATCGGAGTCCTGCTTTGCATACTGAATCCACTGTGAATAGATTTTAAGAGCATTTTAGTTCAGATTACACAGTTCTTGGCTTGAAAACATCAACTTAAAAGCATTAGGAGTGTGTATATATATATATATATATATATATCTATATATATATATATATATATATATAAATCATCAGATCTTACCATAGGTTTATCATAAAATGGGAAGCCTTGCATAGAGCGGAGTGCATTGGAAACACTGTTGATCTCCTTGAAGATCACAAAGGCCTGACCCCTCATCTTCAGCGTAGGTGAAACAAGAATGTCCAGAATTTGTCCAAACTGGGAGAATATAGCATACAACGACTTCTTCAGTTCTATTAAAAGAAGAGGAAAGGGTCACAACACGAAGAAACGCACAAAACCGTTGGATTAAAATCAAACAGACAAACAGAACCATACCATCTTTTTTGATCTTTTCATTCAAGTTGTTGCTGTAAATAGTGTGATTTAAACGCATCTCGTGGTTCCTCATGATTCTGGAATGAAAAACACAGATTTTAAACCCAACGTGCAGAATGAAAAAAAAAAACTCTTATTGAGCACACGGCAGAAATAATCTGTTAAAATAAAAGTCTTCAAGAAGAAAGAAATACGTTTATGTTTACATTAAATTGCGCTTTAAATGCGTGAATGGCTGACCTAGTTGTTTCAAACGGGAGCTAACGTTAGTGAGTTCGCTTGTCAATTAATTTAATCACGAATTACAATTTTACTATTCAGAGAAAGCGCGTATTTTGATCAAATAAGCAAAAAAACTAAGAAAAAGATTAAATGAACACAATTAGACACATTTACTCACAATTATTAAGCGAGCTTCAGCCAACCACTAGTGTTGGGTCGTTCGAATCTTGAATGTGACTCGGGAAGAACGAGTCGTCTCGGGGAGTGATTCGTTCAGTCGCGCATGCGCACTATCCTCTAGGTTCTGTACTGGAATTAGTCAAATAGTTCACCTGTTTCGAGTCTTCGGG